ATGTACTTGTATTATAAATATATTTTTATTTTATATACATTATATTAAAAAAGTGTTATAATTTTTAAAAAAAATTATCCAAAATAATCTTCCATCCAGGTACCTTGCTTACATAATTTTTTGGGTAAGGAACCATCACGTAGTTTACATAATTATTTTAATGGCGAAACAACAACAGGGGCGGAGGGAGGGGGCAACCAGAATATTGATAAAAAATTTTACTTTGCCCCCCTCCCAAGGACCCAAACAATAATGTTTGAAAGTTATTTAGACTTGGTCCAAATAACAGAGACTCGCCCCTCTAATTGCAATTCCTAACTCCGTCACTGAACAACAAGTACTGAAATGTTTGGTAAATGGGTATCAGGGTCAGGAATGGAAATCAAAGTTAACGATGCCCGTATCTGTTTTGTAGTAAATCACAATCAGAATCAGTCAATCAAAATGGAAGAATTAGGTTATGTTTGGATTGCATTTTTCTGAATTTTTTTGTAGAAAAATTACTGTAACAATTTGATATATGTGAGATAAGAAGGTGATTGGAAAATATATTCACTCCAAACAAGGCCTAATAGATCGTGCCCCTATCATTCTTTACTTCTAATTTGAGTTTCAAATTAATTAGCTCTTCCCTTGAATAAAAATGAAATCCATTGCACTTCCGCGGACCAAACAAAGAAAGGGAAATGACCAAAACTTTATACTCACTACTAGTTTCAGTCTATGGTTCCAATTCCGATTCCAGGAACTCCTGAACCAAACACGTCCTAGCCAGGGGTGTTAAGGCACACGAAGTATGAATTCACATACATAATAGAGTAAGACTTGTTCAGTTTTCTACCAAAAAAAAAAAAAAAGAATTGTTCAGGAAATGTAGGCCAGTTGTAGAGCCAGCCGCAGCTGTCCAATCAGTTGGCTTGGACCTAAGGCCCAGAGAGCACAGACAGAGGAAGACAGCAGTGAGACAGAGAATTGAAAGAGAAGAATAAATGAGGTATATGCACTAAGAAAGAAATAAATAGAGGAGGAGGACTGGAGGAGGAGGGGAGTAAATATAGAGGTTCACGTGAGAAGCGAGAAGAGAAGAAGAAGAAGAACACAAAATCCAAAACAGTACAATCTTAAACAAGATACTTGGAACAGCTGCAAAATAGCAATAGGCCAAGTCTGATACATTTGTATATATATATATATATACACGCGCATGTAATAATGCATGGTTTACACTTTTGCTAGTAGTTGGACTTAGGGTTGGGTAGGATGATTTCGAAATAGCGTAGTTAGGTCTCGAATTCATGTGATCGAGTCGCTTATCTATTTCTAATGTATTTTTTAGGGCGAGGTGAACAGACACAGAGATATTAGTTTGATAAAAAAATACTTTTTGTGTTAAAAAAAAATATATAGTAGTTACTGCTGCTACTACTACTACTACATATGTCACAAGTATTTGTGATCGTCATCGATCGTTGGCTACTACCTTAACAGCTGGGAACGACAACTGCTTCTAAAAGAGTTAAAAGAGACTATGACCTCACCTTAACCCTTCCCCTACCCTTACGTTTTGCATCTTTGAGTTGGAAACCTTTTGTGTATATCAGAATCTGTCTCCATATTTGATTTCCAATTTCTTCTTCTTTTTTTCAATCACCTACTATTTCATTCCTATGCCATATCCATAAAAGGTCATTTTCGAAAGCCTTCTCTCTTTTTTTTTTTTTTTTTCGTGTGTGTACTGTGTGTGTGTGTGTGTGTGTGTGTTTGCCACCTAGAAAGAATTAAGTATTTATTAGTGTAACGAACCTTTGAAAAGAAAAATTAAAAAGAAAGAGATGCCCTTTATTTTATTTGTAATGTTGGCAAACTTTGAGAGGAGTTAAAGAGTGCAATTTACCTTGTGTCCAAAAGGCTCCGAAAGACAACTGTATGGCATGTTTCACAAATTGAGAATGAAAGAAATGGATGAGTGACAAATGGATGGAGTTATGGGAATGAAGGAAAAAGGCAAGTAAAACTACTGTAAAAGGAGACTTCAAAGCAAAGTAAAAGAAAAGCCATAACTCCTGGATGCTTTAACTGGTAATAGGGGGTTACAACGACTCGATTCTTCATCCCTAAGCCCTGAATTCTCCCCCTTTAACCCCAGAATGATATGTCACAATCTAACGCAAACTGTCTGGTCACAATCACCTTAGATTTTCTCTCTCCATCACAAGCTACTATTTTTAACACCAATAGAGTAATAACCTAAGAAGCAGAAGCCATCTAGAGTTTGGATACCAGACACTAGATACCACTCCTAAATAAGTAAAAATAGACAAATCAAAAATACAAACCATACACACAGCAAAGACAACCCTAGCTAGGTGCCAAATGCTTTTGGCTATTTTTTTCACTTCTTCTTCTTGGGGATGAACTTAAGAGAGTATTTAAAGAAGATGGGTTGTTCCTTCCAAAAGAAGAAGAAGAAGAAGAAGAAGGAGGGTTGTGGGCCTATTTTCTCTGTTTAGTTTTCAAAGTTCAAACCAAGTTAGAAACAAGATATGCCTTTAATGGCTGCTGATGGCAAAGGCCTGAAGATGTTATTAATTTCCTCTCCTTTTGCCCTTTTCCTTTCACTATAAATGGAAAAGGGAATAGTACAAGGCTTGTTTCCCGCTATGACATGGTTGGATCTTCAGAGCAAACATGTTTCAATTTGTCCAGAATGTAATGTGACCAAAACAAATAATAACACCATGCCCCCTACCCCCCACAATTAAAAGCTTCATTCAGTGGTTGGTGCCTGGTGGGCACAACACGTACTGTTTCGTGTATCTTTATTTCTCGTGAGAATGTTCAATTTCAAAAATATTTACACCATGATATGTTTTGGAGTTCTAAAGTTTGGACCAAAAACAAAAAATTCATTTTCAGGATAATAAGCCCGAACGGTTAAAGCGCATTACTGGAGAATCAGCACTTGTCTTTCCAGTTCAGTTCTCCAGTTCTTGCTTAGAGATTCCACGCATGTAAGCAGAATTTGTCCGTGCATAAGTTTTGTCATATCCTCGGGAAAGCCAGAGGAAGTTGCATCGACTATGGACATGGGCTGCCAGGGTCCAGCTTTAATTACATGCAGCAAATTAATCTGGTTCTGTCGTTCTCAAGTTCGTCGCTCGTGTTACTCGACGAACTGGATTTTGACGCGTAAATTAACCAATTAAGCAACTTGAAAAGCAACTAAGCAAGCAGGACAAATTCAGCACAAACACATTATTAAATTCTACATTAAAAACAATAATAATAATGCTACTGTAGAGCATATTCGTACTAGTAAAAGATAAGCCAGTATTCAGGGGAAAAAAAGGTTTTGACTCTGGAACCCATAAGCAGTAGTTCCTAGGCTTGGTGCAAGAAAAATCCGCTCGACAAAAAGATGCAGAAAGTCTAGCTAGATTCCCAGAAGATGTGTTTAAAATGACTTCTTTAATGCAAACGCAAATAGTCAAACCAGAGAGTGATGATCAGACTGTTCCCCGTGAAGACAAAATCTAGGGAGAGAGAGAGACAGAGATTGATGGGTGGCATTTCTTGGCAGCCAAGATCCATCGGATGGGACACCATCCGTCTTATCATCTAAGATCCCCAGTATTGCAGTTTACAGCTGCTGCGCCTGTATTGCCATCTTTCTCGCCGACCTAACTCTTTGAAACTCATATCCATAGGAGGGGCTGTAGATCAACTGGAATGCGGACAATAGGCATCAGGCAGCAATCCTGAAAATCTTTTGGAACATCATACAATTCCCAAATATTCAACTACATGGACAAAACCAGGGGCTCTGCAATCGACAGGTTTACACATTGAGGTTGGTTGATGGTTGAAGTTGTCTTATCTAAAACGCTGAACAACTGAAATTAGTTTCGCAGTAATATTAACAAAAACTATATGGTGAAATCTGCAGTTAAGTAACTTAAAATATATAAATATATATTGTCCCAACGTTTGCATTACAGATTTACTACTGTTCCATGAATTTTGGGGCAATGCTTGTTTGTGTGGCCTACAGGTTGGTAGCCCCCCTCCTGGCTAAAAGAATCAGTTGTAAACAGTACTGACTCTTTGGCAGCTGTAGATGAAAAAATTTAAACCCTTCCCGCAGTGAGGAAGATGGAAATTCCATGTTCAAACTCAAGCCAGTTTAGTTCGTACGTTTTTGTTCTAATACTTTCCAAGTTTTGATGGCTGAGAATTCCATTGCCCTCGGATCATTACCTGCCACTGCTAAAATTTTTTGCTTTTTTGTTTCTTTTTGTTTTCACTCTCCTGTCTTTGGAACCAAAAGCCACAACAATGTACAAGGACCACCGGTCCTTGCAGCCTTGCAGGCACTAAAAACTCCACAAGGCCCAAGAACTCATCTCCACAAGTGGGCTCCTTGCCTGACTGATATGGTAATACGAACGGAACAAATGATTAAATCAAGAAGAGTTGATAATTTCAGCATCATTGACCTTTGGCACTTTCCGTATTCAAACAACAATAATCAAGAACCCATGATGAGTTGATAATTCTAATCCAATGATACCATTTAAGCCATGCGCCTCACGCATCAGGTAATAAGTTCAGATACGAAGAGAATAGCTTTTTCCCGTCATCATTCATTCCTCTGTTCCACGCCCCCTGCTGTCACTGTATACTCCATCAGCCCAATGGAGAACGATGGGGGAAGTTTACCAACTCTTGCACGAATTAGTCTTCAACAGTTTGTTACCAATCGAGGAAAAACCCAACAATAGCAATTACCAACGTACAGAAACCAAAAAGGAAGAAAAAAAAAAACACCTGCTGGATTCAAAAACATGTACCGAAATATTTGTCCAATGGAGGTTTAAGAAATGTCACGACTTAACAACCTCAAGCAGCACTGCAACTTCAGTTCTTTCAGAATGTGGAATCAAGTGACAGTACATCAGTTCCCAAAATTTGTGACAATAATACAGCAGAACAAGTGAGTGAGTCCTTGGATTGCAGGATATATTTAGAAGATGAGGAGCATGTGGAAAAGCATTACAAGGGCTTCATTCTTCATTATGGACTTTCTTTGCTACATGTTTAATAATATTATTAAAAACAAGCTCTTCTTCAAGTGGTAGAAATTCTATACATACAGGTAACAAACATCATAAACAAAACTGTGATTGCTTCTAAAATGTCACTTCTTACATAAAAAGAGGAAATGCATGTACAAATTTGTAGGAAGTCACTACCTGATCTACCACCTTCTCACCAATGACGTGAGCAACTGCAAAATCAAAACATTGTCTGTATCAGGAATTAAAACCAAACAATGTTTCATCCTGGTTAAGGGTATCAATCAGGAATGTATACTATCTTAATACACTGATTTCCAACTGTTTGTCGTAAAAAACTTCATCAGATACAACGCAATTTCTTGGATCCATGTTTTTAACTTCATCAGATGGTTAAAACCAGATTCACTTTAAAAATATGTAAACAGATTCACTTTTAAAATATGTAAACAAACACGAAATGGCTTCATTTACCCTTAGTTCACTTTCTTTTGATCTTTATATCAGCTATTGAGTAAAGCCTGAAGCTGATTTGCGCTTAAATTACAATTCAACATCACAGAGCAAAAGTTCATTAAAAGGTGTCCATTCTCTTGTTTTAGCTTTTGATTGAATAAGCACAGATTGGTTAGGGACGAGAATCCTGACCCTGATCTTCTATGCACACTGACACCTCAAAATTTTTGTTCTTCATAGATCTAGTACCATTGTCATGAATTATTGAGAAGACTTGTATATAAATCATTGGCAAAGAACAAATTTCAAAATTTTCAGGTCATTTAACGAAATCATTTGAACAAAATTCACTTACAAGATGAACACAACTCTAACCTTATATTTCAACTCAGTGACTTAAGGTGAAAAAAAAACAATCATACCTCAAACAGTTCAAAAGGGCTCCCCCGTCTATAGACATCATTCTTCTTGCTTTTGTCAGGATAGAATGTGCTAAACAACAGTGCTCTCCATCCAATTAGTAACACAGCAGTACTTCCCATGGTTACTAAGATAAAGTTGATTGGCGGAATATGCCTGACTGTTGCTGCTCTTATTATCAAGCCCAGCTGCCAAATGAGGGAACCAAAAATTGAAGCAAAGTCCTTTATGAATAAGAACAAAGAAATAAGTTGAAATTGATATCAAAATACAGCCAAAATTCAAAAGAGAGTCCATTAGGCATGATGACGCATGAGACATGCCTGTCACAAGCATTAATGATTCAAAGTTCCATTTGTGCAGGTAACTGAACCCAAAATAGGTTGTTGACCATTCTGATGCAGTGCCAAGGAATGTAGTAGTTCCTTTATAAGGAACCACAAATAGAGCAAGTTTTACAATCTATTTACAGGACAGCTAACAAATGATGGAGATTCATTGTTTCATTGTGAATCTTTCACATCCAATACAAGAAAGGAGGCAAATGCTAGGAACACTAGAATTAGGAATACTATGCCTAGTATGAGGAAACAAAGTTGTTGATCATCACACATAAACTTATGCGGAACAGCCTTCTGCTCGTAATTATACCTTCTGAGGTATGATATGAGATACAACAGTATCTGCTGTTGTCCTTCCAGAAGTTAAGTGTGTCAACCCAACTCTCAAATCCTTGTTAAATCAAAGGCCAAAAGAAAATCAACATCCAAGACTATCCAACTTGTCCAAATTCCGCATGTCGTGAAGTCCTTCAGATTCATAGTTCAAACAATACAAGAAAACGACGCTAACCTAATGGTCATTCTGCTCTTGGTTTCATGTCTGGCCTTTGCTGATCTTGAGGTGCAGCCTAAATTTTGGAAGGACTTGTTCAACTTTGTAGGCATCTTCAACTTGAGGAGAGGATGCCCATTCCAAAGAGAACGGGTAGACTAAAAACGTTATTAAATCACAATGAAATCCAAAATTAGCTGTGAATAGAAAATTTCTTGTATCACAACTACAGATTGATCACTGTCACGTTAACTTACAATTTTGTATCATACTAAGTTTCAAGAGACGATAACATCTTCATAGATTGTAAGTTGCAGCCTAACTGCTGTATGTTTCTCCTTCTCAATAAGCATTAGAATGAAACTTTGGTATTTGCACGTCCAGAAAATCTCTAGAGGTAAACAACCACTATTCTTGTGTTAAAAACTCTAATTTCAAGTGTATTTGGGGTAAATACTGGACGGAAACTATCTTCAACAAGATTCCTATACTTTTTTCAACAAGATTCCTGCTAAAATTTATAAACTGAAAAAAAGAGCTTCGAGCTACTAGAGTCCTGCGATATGATGTTTCCCAAAGTCCATATCCCCGACCTAAATCCTCTCCTGAACCACATATATGCTCACTAGCAACCGGTGGCATTTAACTCAGTCACATTTCAACCACAATCCTTCACCATTCTAAAAAAAATTGATATTTTAAAAATATCAACGAGTTCAATAGTTGTCCGACAGAATGCTAAAAGGGACTTACCGGAATGCCCAAAGCCCAAGACTTGGCAGCTACAGTTATAGCTTGAGAGCGGCCATTCATGCCTCGACCATCTTCCCCATATCCTCCAAGGAAATAAGCACTCAAGAACCACCCTAATTTTACCAAGGGACCATACAAAATAATTATTCTTAGCCCCTAGGTCCAATTTTTATTATCTCCACATATATACAACTAAAATTGAGTCAGAGAAAAGCATACCAGCCATTAACGGGTCCGCAGTTTTCAACGTCTCGAGGTCAAAAACGTCAAAGCCATGACTAAACCTTCCAATTGCTGAGAACAAGAGCAATGCCAACGCATCCCCACCGGCCAACAAAGCCACCCACCTAAAATGAAACCAATTTTTCATCATATCAGAGGGGGGAAAATCCCAGCTGTTTAAAAGAAAAACATTCAAGATAGAAACAAGGAGGAGAGGGAAAGAAATTACCCCCATTTAGAAATGAGGGTAGAAGGGGAAGAAGTGGGCTTTTCGAATTGAATGACACCCTCTAGAGGAACATCCTGTTCGCCCACCAAAGTGATGGGAACATCCTCTTTGGCGGAATTGGGGGGAGTGGAAGGACCAGTAGGAGTAGCAGAGGGGCGGCTTGTGGTGGATTCAGCATTGGCAACAGTGCGGCGTCTGGGGAAATTATGAGTATTAGCGGGTGGGAATTTGGGTGGTCTGCGATTGGAGAAAAGAGGAGGAACTGGATTTGTAAATTGAAGGGAACAGCGATGGGTACAGGATACTGCCGCCACTGCTGCTCCGCCTGCAGCTTGGCTGCTCAGAACATTCATGTTTTCTCTCAGGCAAATTATCAAACGCCTTTGATACGAAGTAAGCACTTGGATAGGAGCCCCTAATTTCACGCAACGTATGGCTCTTGTAGAAATGGAAAAGATATTTACTTGGTATTTTTGTTTGCCAGGTCAAGAAGAATAATTTCTACTACATTTTTGTTTTTTCCCTTTGTATTATGTCAGTTGAGCAGAAGGACTGTAGCGAACTCAACAGGCGAATGGCTTTGATCAAAGAAAAATAGGCGAATGGCTATCTACCCGCGAAAATGGCAGTACTATAAATTTGGTTTGGCTAACTGGTCAAGTCGAGCCTGTTAACTTTTTTTAAGTAAGAGTGAATTCATTTGGAAAAGTATTCTTATCCCTGTTAATTTTTTAGTAAGAATAAAATTAAATTGAAAAAAAAAATCTAAACACATGAAATATATTTAATGTGAGTGTATAAATTCACATGATAAATTAGACGTATCATTGAAAAAATTCATATAAATTTTCAGCTGTTGAACCCACATTTGCACTTGAATTATTATAGTAGTATATATCATGGAGTAAATATAATATAAGGAAACTAGGCAAATAATAGAAAAGGTTTCATTTGGTAAAAAAATAAGGATGGCTACAACCTTTCTTGTCGTGATTTACTATGCTTTGACATTTACAGCCAAAAAAAAAAAAAAAAAAAGAGTTAAGACTGCCTAGCTGCTTCATTTATTAATTCATTAAAAGTGGCTAATGGAGTTTCATAGTTGTAATACTACTAACCTTTTCTTAAATTTTTATATGGTAGTATTTGATTGCATGACGAATCGGATTACTTAGCTGCTAAGTATTGACTATCATAATTTGCCAAAATGCAGCTTTTTCCTTCTTTGTGTGTTAATATCAATATTTTTACTTGCTGGTCTACAATATTAATTGCAATCTAAATAGGTGGATCGACTATCAAAAACTAAAATATTGAATTTTCCAGGAAATAGAGAAAATAGGAAAAAAAAAGAAAAAAGAAAAAAGAAAAAAGAAAGAAGAGGTGGGGCGGCTGAACTTTGGATCAGAACAAAAGGGGAAAATGAATTTCTTTATCCGATTTAAGAAGCCACGATAATAATGAGGATATTACTAGTTAATAAGGCCAGTTCCTCTACGGCTGTTCCTAATGTATGCTAGTGAAGAAAATCCATAGACGTTGGATTCAGTTGGAAAACATAATGTGGATACTGGTAGCAAATAAGCCATGCACTTTCGGAAGAGGGGCAGGAGGTTCTTGGCAGTTTATGGCCAAGATTTGGCTAAAAAAAATTATAAGGTTCAGATTTCATATTATATCTCGTTTTTAATAATATGTGTGAGATCTACAAAATTTTATTCTAGAATTACACGTTGTTGAAAATAAGTTACACCGTATGCAAACAGAATCATGCCGCGTGCAAATGCACATAACCTTCAGGATGCAATCGTTACTGCACCGAGTCCTACACTTCCTCTTTTTTACTAAAGTTAGTGAAGATAAATCAATGAGGTTGGATTCAGTGGTAAAAACCTGCTGCTGAATGATGACTTCAAGTTTTTTTTTTTTATTTGGATCAAATTGTTTTCAGTATTATAAAAAATAACATTTGCAATAAATACTAAATACTAAGTAATAGATGGTGCTCAAAAATTTCTAATTCATAGACCAACGCTCACAACTTCTAATCACTTTAGAATGTTGTAATGGATATCGTATACAAAAACTTGCCAATTCTAACAAACACTCTCATGCCAAAAACATTAGAAAAAAAATAAACAACTTTATAACTGAACTCTCAGGCGAAAAACATTATAAAAAAAATAAACCATTTTATAACTGAACTAGAGATGATGAAAGAAAAAGAAAACCACCCATTTTAACTCCCAAATGAGTTGAGTAATACAAACAACTGAAGAAAACAGAAATACTGGGATCAAAATAGATGATTTTGTCATTGACTTCAAAGGTGTATTTATATACAAAGATAAGGATCCTACCTATATAATTTCTATATCTGTACAAATAAAGATTTCCTATACAATAGTAAACTACCAAAATTACATATACTAATTTATTAGCTAAGGATCCCAAAATATCATTCCATAAATTGTTGCACTAATTTCTGCAATTTGCTAAAATATCATTCCATAAATTGCTGCACTAATTTCTGCAATTTCCTCAATACCCCTCCTCAAGTTGGAGCATGAAGATTGGATATGCCCAACTTGCTAAGAAGAAATTGAAACTGATCGGTACCCAAAGCTTTAGTGAAATATCAGCAAGTTGTAGAGTCGTACGTACATGAGCTGTTTCAATGTTCCCATTTTGTATCTCGTCTCAAATGAAATGACAATCAATTTCGATGTGTTTCGTATGCTCATGATATCCAGGATTCGTTGCAATGTGTAAAGCTGATTGACTATCATAGTACAAGCGCATTGAACTAGAATGATCAATACCAAGAAATAGCATCAAATCCTTTAACCACTTAAGTTCACAAGCTGCTATAGTTATTGACCGATATTCTGCTTCAGCAGAGGAGCGTGAAACAGTCTGTTGTTTCTTGGTTTTCCATCAGACAGGTGATCTGCCCAAGCAAATAAAATAACCTGTCAAGAAGTGTCTTGTCAAGGGACAACTTGCCCAATCGGAGTCACAGTATGCATACAATTTAAGATCAGAGTTGGCCCGCAAAAGGATTCCCTGTCCAGGATTACCCTTCAAATATCGGACTACTCGTAATGCAGCTTCCCAATGGACCTTCTTTGGTTGCTGCATAAATTGAGCAAGAATATGGACACAGTAGCTCAATTTAGGTCGTGTAATAGTTAAGTAAATCAGTTTGCATACCAACCGACGATATTGAGCAGGGTCACTAGCATCATCCCCTTCAACAAGTGCAAGTTTATGATTCTGCTCCAGTGGAGTTTTCGCTGGCTTAGCTCCCAGCAAACCAACCTCAGAGATGACATCCAAGGCGTATTTTCGCTAACAAAGAAAAATTCCTTGAGTATTTCTTGCTACCTCTATACCTAAAAAATATTTCAACTGTCCCCAATCCTTCATATGAAAACAGCTGCTCAAATATTTCTAGTCGCTGCACAGCAGTGGCAGCATTACCTGAAATAATAAGATCATCTATATAGATTAGAACATGTATTTGCATATGCTATTCACGAAAAGCAAACAATGAATAGTCTGAGCAAGATTGATGAAAGCCATACTTCTTTAAAGAATCTGCCAGCTTAGCAAACCAACAACGGGGTGCATGACGCAAGCCATACAAAGACCTTCGTAGTCTACACACTTTCCCAGGATTTTTAGAGGCAAAACCTGGTGGCATTAGTCAATACCATCTTTTTGATTATTGCCAAGAATTATCAATCGAGCCTTGCATCGTTCAATGCTTCCATCATAATTATATTTTATTTTGTACACCCACTTACTGCCAAAAGCCTTCTTCCCAACGGGTAAGTCTTCCACCGTCCAAGTTCCATCCTCTTCCAAAGCTTGAATTTCTTTTCTCATAGCTTCACGCCATCGTTCATCTCTCATTACCTCATTATAAGAAACTGGTTCTGAACCTGCAGTAATGCTTGCCAAGAAGAACCGATATTGTGAAGAAAATCGATCATAGCCAATAAAATTGGCTATGGGATAAGACATACCTGAGGAATGCTGTTGAAGCGGTGAATGCTGCGAGGGGCTGAATTGCACATTATTTGTCACATAGTCCTTCAGACGAGTGGATGACTATTTAATCCTACGTCCACGACCAAGCTGATCTCTTACTAGTACCTCTTCTCCTGAATTTTCTTCCCTATTTTCAGCTGTATTGATTTCTGTAATTTCCTCAGTAGGAGGACAGCCTTCAGGAGATTTCTCTAATATCTCCCTATCTTCCTCAATAATTTCCCAATTCTTATGCTCATGAGCTCCATCCGCATTTTTAGTGGAATTTTCACTTGCAAACATTGGTTGCAGAGTATGGAAATTTTATTTCTACAAACACCACATCTCTTGAGACAAGATACTCAGAAGTTTCTAAATTATACACTTTCCATCCTTTCTTGTCAAAAAGGTACCCCACAAAAACACACCTAGGGCTTCGACTGACAAATTTATCCTTATCTCTAAGTTGTCTATGCACATAACACAGACACCCAAAAGTCCTAATATGATTATAGGAAGGAAGTTGTCCAAAGAGAATTTCATAAGGAGTTTTTCTCTTCAGAACCGCAGATGGTATCCTATTGATTAAGTATCTAGCGGTAAGAATGCATTCACCACAAAAATCAATTGGCAAGTGTGCCTGAAACATCAAAGCTCTCGCCACATTAAGGATGTGACGATGCTTTCTCTCAACTCGTCCATTCTATTGGGGAGTTCCTACACAAGAAGTTTGGTGCAATATACCATTTTCATTAAAAATATTTTTGTAGACACATAAATTCAGTGCCATTATCACTCCTAATAGTTTTCACATCCTTCTCAAATTGTCGTTTAACCATAGCAATAAAATTCTTAAGAACACAAGCAATTTCATGTTTTCCTTTTAGCAAATAAATCCATACAGCACGAGAACAATCATCAACAATAGTCAAGAAATAAGCAGCTCCACAAAAAGCCAAAGCTTTATAAGGCCCCCACAAGTTACAATGCATTAAATGAAAACAATTCTTAACTTTATTGTCACTAGAATAAAACATTTCTCTAGTTTGTTTTGCTCTAAAACAAACATCACAACTTAAATTATCAGTATTTTTACTAAATTTATTTGCTGCAGAAATCAATTCTAGCATCTTACTCGACGGATGACCCATTCTCCTATGCCAAAGATTGAAGTCTAAAACTCCAGAAATTTTACGAGCATTTGCCGAAGCCACCGCCTTAAAAAAATACAGCCCCTCCTGTTGTTTACCCGCTCCAATTAGTCACCTCATATTTCGATTCTGTATAGCACAAATTTTTTTAGTGATTTGCAGTACCAGATTTGAGTCATTAAGAAGTTGTGAAACAGAGATTAAGTTATATTTTAAATTAGGCACAAAAAGAACATGTTGCAATTTCAATCCTCCTCTAAGATGCACCATTCCTTCTTTCAGTGCCACAGTTGCTTCACCATTTGGCATTCCAACTAAATATGGAACAATGTCAGACACATCTCTCAGGCAGGCCCTTGTCCCAGTCATATGATGGGAAGCCCTTGAATCTA